ATTTTATAATATATATAAAATTTAATTAATAACTATAAAAGTTTTATGATCTCAAAAAAAATACCTGTATTCCTAAAAGAATATGATTATATACATAGATTATTCTATAAGCAATTCCAACAATATTATGACAACATTGCAATATTCTAGTAATACAATAATATTGCAAATGTTGCTGCAAGTTCTTTATGTTGTAAAGCAGAGTTTATCAACAGTAAATTAATATGAAATATATTATGGATAAAAGTTTTTTTTGGGTACCAAACGAACGAAAAACTGAAAAGAGATAAAAGAATACAGTTATAGAATTAGAGGAGAGATATAGAACATTACTAACTACGTTACGTTACGTAGTATAATTAATTTTACACATCACAGATACATGCACACATTACCAAATTTAGTTCAATTATATCATTTGCAAGGTATATTTAAGGCCTCCAAGACTGAAGTTGCAAAATTAATTACCAACATATTTCTTAAAATTATGTAAAGAATATATGTATACTTGTAAAACTGTCCGCTACATGCAAAACTAAATAGCTTTTATGATAGCGCAATAAATAGTAACGATCAGTGATCATAATATAACGTCTAAGCAAATTGTGCAAAAGTAATTTGAATGGTCGAGAATGTAGCACTAACTATAAAACTATAGTACAAGCTATTTGGAATAATTAACTTCACATTTGATTTAAAAATTATAGTTCCGTATCTCAGTAAGTTATAGATACTATTTCTGAATTCGCAACAGTATGTGTCACATCGGGAAGGTGAACTCCGTGTACTACCAGGAGGATTATGTGTACAAAGAGCAAGAAAGTTTAATTACTCCCATGTGAGAAGTTACTACAGTAACGTACACGGTGCGTTCTCTCAAAGCGCGGATCGATCAACCGTATGGAATTTGGAAGGAAGCTAACACCATGGAAAATCACGTTTTATTCGATGAGTTACTCGGATTGAAGCGCCATGAGCTTTTTTGACATCATCGTAGAATGCGTGTGAAATTTTGTAAGCCTTTGATGAAATTGAAGAAAATTCTCCGGAAAGTTTGTTTGACACGCGCATAGAATTACTAACAAGGAAGTTCGATAAGTATAAAATTCAAAAAATTCTGGCACTTTGCCAGAATCTAAATTTAGATAGACTTAATTACAAAAAATTTTTTTTATTACTTAATAAATAAAATTGATAGCATATATGTATGTATATAAGTGTATTTTCAGCTTATTTCTCAAAATAAGCATATGTTTACGGAACACAACTTTTTCACATATGGTTAAATTTACTTTATGGAATAAACTTTTTAACTCAATTTCAAAAAAATTTGAAAATTTAAGAAAAAGGAATTAGTGATAAGGATATTTTTTTTTAATTTAATATTTTTCAAAAATGTAATCACTTTTATTCGAAACATTTTTTCGTATTTCCAATTGTTTCTGAAATATTCATTTAAAAAAAAAAAATCTAAAAACTGATTTTATTCAAGAGGATGCTGTATCTCTAAAACAGAATTATAATAGTTAAAAATTTTTTTTTTATAATTAGATCCCTTTACTCTAAATTTATGCAAAGTGTCAGATTTTTTTATTTTACATTTGCCAAACTTCTGTTTAAGTAATCTAACTGAGACGTAACAAATCAGGGGAGAGAGGGAAAATAGTTACGATCACGTAAATCTATACTCGCTCGCGTAATTTAAATTGAATGAAATAAAGTTCGATTAGCCGAATAGACTCAAGGGCACGTGTAATTGCGAAGTTAAATTACTTCCACGTGAGAAGTTACGCTTGCGTTCGTTCGCATATAATATGTTTCCAGCAACAAAGTTGCTAACAAATCAGTGCGAAATTCCAGAATAACGTGGGGCTGCGGCTCGCGTGGACAAGTTTCGCTTTGGCCTTAACTTTCCAACTTAACTGCACAACTTTAATATTACCGAAATAAAGTTGTGCAGCAAACAGCACGATAATCGGGCTATAAAAGAGTTAAAACGAAGTCGAAGCGGTAAATTGAAATAGAAATATAAAAAGAAAGAATTAACGAGACAACAACGTATGTCTACAATTTGCATAGAACAGGAAAATTAATCCTTCGCAGACTATTCTGAATTTCATCACTTATGGCCGTTTCTACTAATGTAGATTAACTCGGTTCAACCTACTCTTTAACTTTTTCTAATTCTAAGAACTATTCTTAAAATTATTATATTCCCGGTTCGTTACGTGTCAGTAAGAATACTTAGTAATTCTATGTGCATATAAAACTTTCTGAAGAATTTTTGAGAATAATCTACAGATCACTTGAATTGCTGAGAGAGATGATTTTTCAAAGTGTTTAAGCTTTAAAAAATTTTTTTTTAATTTGATATACTCTTTCAATATTTAGGAAGACGATTGTACAATTATATGACGTAAAATATTCTATATTTTTTTACGTGTTCAAAGAAAGTACAATATAATTTTTATTTTTTTTTTACCATGCGGGGATCGTTTCATTTTTTCATTTTTTAATGTATTTTTCTTCATG